TTCATTACCAGAAATGCTAACTCAGCTAACTGCTAATACAAGATGATAAAAGTAATTAATCTTTATAACTCTGTAATCATCTCGTCTTTTTTTATGAAATATTAGCAAAACCCTGTTTAATAACGAATGCTGTCCATCGCATTAAAGACGCCAGCTGTGCTTCTGATTTCAAATGGCCAAAAGAAAAAGAATTAAAAAGTAAAACCTAATGTCTTTTTATAGTGTGATTCCTAAAGATATTTTTGTGGGTAAATCAGATATTGGCCACTAGGCTTTAATCAGTGCATCTCTCTTATGAAAGATGAGTTTTTCTTACAAATAATATAAAAAAAAATAACATATTTGTGAATAAAAAACTTGACATTTTTTAAAATGTAAATGCTGTATATATACAAGAAACTACATAATTTCCCATGATGAAATAATATTCTCTGACATTGAAAAAATGGAAATTAGCATGAAACAACCTCTAAGGTTATTTTTTAAATTTATATAAGGTCAGATTATGAAAAATGCTAGAAGTCCTTTAAGGTTTAGGTTGTAAATTTAGGAGATGGTGTCCTGGATAATTTCCAGAGTGTAAATGGAAGATTCTGGCTCCTGACCTGCATCAAAAGGACATTTTAACAGTGCAGACTCACAGCAGCCATGTTGCAGCTTCTGCCTCACCGTCTCCAGGGTTTTTTTTTTTCCAATACAGAAAGGAGAGTCGATGTACCTCAATTAAAATATCCAGATGTACATCTTATAAATTTACCTCTGCAGTTTTAAAGGACTTGTGGGATTTTTGTCACGTAATTTTCTTAATTTATAATCTCAGAAAGCTTCTGGACTTATTTCATGCAATTTGAACCTTAAAAATGTCAAAGAACATCAGTGTTTGAGATTTATGCTTTTTAGTTGAAAATTTTATTCAATTTTCTTGAAAAACTGACAACTTTTCTACATTAGCAGTTATGTGCGAATTGCAAATTGCCAGTTTATAGTCAATTTGCTCCTCTGTCGTCACATTTACAGTCATCAGAATGCAGATTTGAATCCATAGTTCTGAATTTCTTTTCTCCTCTTCTTATTTCTGCGTTGCAGATAACTTTTACGGAACCCCAAAGCCTCCAGCTGAGCCCAGCGCTCTGCTGCTAAATGTAACGGACCAGCTGCTGCCGGGCGCCAGACCCAGCTCCGAGGGCAAAAGAAAGCGGAACAAGTCAGTCAGCAACATGGAGAAAGCCAGCATCGAGCCCCCTGAGGAGGAGGAGGAGGAAAAGCCCATCGTCAATGGCAACGGCGTCGCCGTCACTCCAGGTAAGAACCCCGACAAAACCTTCAGCGAAGGACGGCCCGGCATTGTCACACCGGCCAGACCGAGGTCCCGAATCAGTTTAAAGTTAGATGCTCAGCTTCCTCAAAGGTGGTTGCTTAGCAACAGTAAAGCGCCTCCTTCGTACGAGTTTCTGTAAATATATAAAATTGCTTTAATTTTTTCACGGAATCCTTTTATTCACTCAATAATGCCATGAATTTACTGCCTGAATAATTACATTTGTAGTAAAAACATCAGATCCAACCTGAGCCTGCAGGCCTGGTACAGCGCCCAACTGACACTAGCTCATGTTTATTTATTTATTTATAGAAATGGACAAAACACTTTCACATGGTGTTTCATCCTCACGCCTTTAAAATGTGGCTTTAAAATTTCTGAAAATATGTTTGAAAAAAAAAAATAATTCACAAATAATTTCTGGAAAAATGCATTTTTGAACTTTTAGCTTCATGCCAAAATCATATTTCTGCATAGCCCAATAAAACCTTTGTGGAAAAAACATATTTAGTCCAAATTTGCTTAAGTTAAAGTCAAGATGTGGATCTATGAAGTCTTAACCTGACTCC